GGAGGGGATTTCAGCTACGGAAAGGAGGGACAAAAGTGACCCACCTTTTCTATATGGATGACCTCAAGTTATTCGCCTCCAGTCGCTCCCATCTTATGGAATTGCTAAACATCACTTGTGAATTTAGCAATTCCATTGGAATGGATCTTGGGACGGATAAGTGTGCGGTCCTCCATGTTGAAAGGGGAAGGGTTGCTAACTCTGAGGGCGTAGACTTATCTATGCCCGTCAACTTAAGGACACTTTCCGAGGCTGAAACATACCGATACCTGGGTATGTCACAAAACATCGGTATCGATGAGACTGGTATGAAACAGTCAGTTTGCGACGTGTTTTATGCACGCTTGACCAAAGTGCTTAACAGCCTTTTGTCCGGTGTGAATAAGGCACACGCATATAACGGCTGGGTCATGCCTGTCCTCATGTATACCTTTGTCATACTCAGGTGGACTCAGACTGAACTTAACGCCCTGGATAGAAAAGTCCGCACTACCATGACGTCCCATAGGATGCATCATCCGAGATCGTCGGTAATGAGGCTGTACTTGCCGCGGAAGCATGGTGGTCGTGGCTTCTTGAGCGCGCTCACCATGCATAATCGCGAAGTGTGCAGCCTCCGTGATTACTTCCTGGCGAGATCGGATGATCCATTCTATAAGGACGTCATTTCTTGTGATAAAGGACTTACCCCTCTATCCTTAGCCAACGAGCAATGGCAAGACCCGGCAGTGCAGAGCATTTCCGACCGGGAGACCGTATGGAAGGAGAAGGAGCTCCACGGGAGGTTCTACAAGGCTCTACATGAGCCTTTCGTAGACACAGTAGCCTCCCTCCACTGGCTACGCTTTGGTGATCTCTTCGGGGGAAACCGAGGGTTTTGTCTGTGCAATACAGGATCAGGTTATTAAGACCAACAACTATCGGAGATACATCCTAAAGGATGGCACCGTCGACATCTGTCGAGCTTGTCGCCATCCTGGTGAGTCACTTAGGCATGTTATCTCCGGTTGTTCGGCGCTTTCTAACTCTGAGTACTTACACAGGCACAACCTAGTAGCCAGAATTCTACACCAGGAGCTCGCTCTGAAATACGGTCTCGTGGATCGGAAATTGCCGTATTACAAGTGCTTGCCGGATGCCGTGCTCGAAAATGATCGCGCCAGGCTCTATTGGGACCGGGCCATCATCACAGACAGGACTATTCTTGCGAATAAGCCTGATATTGTGCTGATGGACCGGGCACAGTCAAGGATATTTTTGGTCGACATTACCATTCCGTATGACGAGAACCTCGTGAAAGCCGAAACAGACAAGCAAACAAAATATCTGGACCTGGCTCACGAGGTGATCGACATGTGGGGTGGTCTGCCGACCGAAATTATTCCTGTAGTCGTCTCTGCAAACGGGCTAATCCCAGTCAGCCTCTCGGGCCAGTCAGCCTCGGGGTGAGGCGGCTGGGACTACGTGGCGGACCGCTCCAGGTTCAAATGCAGAAGGCGGTGCTCCTCGATACCGCCCGCATCGTCCGCCGGTTTCTTTCCCTTTCGCCCTTACCCTCGGCCGTTTGGTCTCCCCTGCCGAGGGCCTCCATCTGGTTGGGCTTTTATTTATTTATGTACTTTTATATTTATTTTATGTTATTGATATTTATGTATATTTTTCTTTTCATTTTCATTTATAATTATATATTTATAGAACCCAACCAGATGAGAAAACTATATAGATACTGCAAATAATAATAATAAAAACATTTATTCATTACCACCAATATAGTTACAGTGAGCAGTATACACAGAAATAACCAAAATTACATAGTGTAGTAATGAATGGGCTTTAGCTCAGCATAAATGTTGCAGTTGCCTACAACGCTGTTATTCTGCCAGCGCCCAACAAATGAAGAGTACAGTACGTGCGCATCCCTGCTTATATTACATTTAAACACAACTGTTCATATTAGAGTACATGTCATTTGTACGCATTGTGTGAATTTTTATTTTGTTTTTATTTCTATAGTATTTTTATTTAATTGTTTTGTGTACTAACATTAGTTCTTAAGTTTTATTTGTATTACTAACATGTTATGAGCCTACGATGCCTGAAAAATAAAACATTTATTTTTATTTTTATTTGTTTTATTTATAATTTATTTCGTTACTTTACAATTAACTTTCTTTATAGAATTTAATTTGGATACCAGTCTTTTATGCTATGACTATTTTGCACAGCAATCTAGATAAATTTATAAAAAAAATTAATATCTGAGGCAATATGTAATCTAAGTGATAGAAAGTAGGAAAACAATAGATTCTTCTATGAATAGCTTCTTCATATGACATATGACACATGACACAGCAAATCATTCTGACTTTCAAAGCAAAACAGACGTGCAGCAACTTTTGAACGAGTTGCGTCCCGCACTAGGGACCGTCGTACTGTTGAGTCTCCTGCCATCGTCTCTTAATATTCCAAAAGACTTCTAAACTAAGGGTACATTTATAGAGACAAGAGAATTTCGCAAAACGTCGTTCAAGTCACAACCTACCAGCAGTATTCTCCTTCGTGAAACTCCGTGGAGCCCGAATTCGTTGACGCCATTACCATAAGGGCACCGATGAGGTAGACAAATCGCTGCCCCTAATCTGATTACTATGGCTATGCGCAAACTACAAGGACACAGATGAGGTTGTCAAATATCCCAGGCGGATTACTACGGCTATGCGTGAACTTTCCTCGTAAAAAAAATGTGCCGAGATTACTTGATGGTAGAGCAGTTAATCGATATTTTTCATTTATTATTAAATCGTATTCATTAAAAAAAAACTTATTATGAATTAGAAATTATTAATGAATGTAAACCATTTGTTTGGTTAAATAAACGAAAATCTTGAATATAGCCTTTATTCTTAGTGACGTATTCGTATATATTATATAAATTTAAAAAAAAGACGTGTGGCACTCGGGGACTGCCGCGGTAAAGCTATTGCATAGCATTTTGTATCAACTTATGCAATTATAATTATTTATTTATTTTATTTATGCAGTATTTCTTTTTCTTTGATATTAATTCAAGTTACACTTTTTGAGCGTGGTGACCGATAAGAAAACAAATTTTTTTCTTTTATTAAATAAATAAATAATAAATGCACTTTGTTCATTCATATTCAAAACACTTTATACACAAATTTTACAAGTACAGCTATTCACTGTTGTACATAAATACCTATACACCTATATACTTTCTCATAAACAGCTGCTTATGTATTCGTCCCATTTCGGAGCAGCTCGTCTCGATTCGTGCGAGCTTCGTAGAGTCGTACAATACGTCTAGTTGCACGCACATAAACACCGTGTCGAAGACTGCCGAAAAGAAACGACGTTAGACAATGCACGGCCTTCAAGCCACACCTCCGTGCCCGTCGGAGTGGGGAGCGTGAGGTTTTTTTCGTTACGGAATTTCTGGATTCGGTCCCCGCGCTCAAGGCCCGCGATAGAAGCTATGCAATAGCTTAAAAAACAAATGTGTTCAAGCTTCGTGCGTTTTGTATTTTATTAACGACTAGCGATCTGTCCCGGTTCTGCACAGGTGATTTTTGGATCTCAACAACAGCACCACCTACCGGATTCAACTGAGTTTTTAAGCCATCCAGGGACTCATTCAAACGCACAAAAATTCATCAAAATCGGTCGAGCCATTTCGAGGTCGAATCTAACGGATAGCAATTGATTTTAATATATAGAGATTAATTTATGACCTTGAACAATTAGCACACAATAATTCCTATTATATTTAGGGTGCATTTGACCAAATCTCTATAACACATTTAACTACTCGAATATCAGAGATAAGCTATTCCACGATTGTTTGCAAACTTTAATGTTTTATTCGTTGTGTTTGTTTTTATTGTGTTTTTTATAGAATTAGGGTGACAAACGAACACACAGTCCACCTGATCGTCAGTGGATGCTGTGGCTCATAGACATCTATCTACATTTAACCTCGATTAAGATTCAAAATGCAGATGCGTTGTCACCTTTGAAGACTAAGATGGAACGCCTCGATTCCAGTAAAACGGGTCTCCGGTTCTCTACACTCACCATACGAATCACAACAGCATCAATCTGCTATTTTACGCTGGTATTCTGTAAGAGTGTGGTCCTTCCCCGGCCGGGCCGTCTTTTCGTGCTACAACCACAATATAACTGCAGCGTGGCTCTACCACGTGTGTATTATTTCTTGACATTATTCGTCGTTTTGAAATACAACATGAGTGAGGATCAACGCATTAGTTGGGTTTTTATTTAGTTGTATTTTGTATTTATTTATTTCCTTTACATTTATCATTTCCTTTTATATATTTATTCAACCCAACCAGATGAAAATCATAGGCCCACAATAACAAGTAATATATCTGACGAACTGAGCTTGAAATTGACACTGACAGTAAATACCAGCGAAAAAACATGACACTTTTGGAATAACTCTGTGATTTCGTACAAAAGAGTGGTTTAGTAAATATTCCTGAATAGGCGCGCTTTTCTTAAAACTATAAATGTTACAACGTAAAATTGATTTGATCTTGAATACCGATTAAAATGGGTTGAATAGAAACCACAGGAAGAATATAAACAAGACTGGTTATTTAATTAAGTTGTATGTAGGTTTTTCTACATATCAGGAATGTGTGTTTATTTCTTCCGCTAACATTTTTCCTTTATTTTGGTAATCTTGAAAAACCTAGACACAACTTTATCGAATAACCAGATTTGTTTCTATCCACCCCGCGGTTTATATTCACCCCATTTTACGGTTTTATTCACAGAATTTTATCGAATCTACCCTCACTCGGAATGACACAATGATATTTAGATGTATGCTAATTATATTGGTCTCATTCAAGTAGTATACATCTATCTAATAATATAATTAGCACACATCTAATATAATTTAGAAAATACAAAGAAGATAGAATAGAAAGATAGATAGTACAGATAGAACTCACTTTTAAATCTTTCATATCCCTAGCGAGACGTAGAAGATGTAACGGAGCGCGAACGTTTGTGACCAGCGCTGCTCGGAGGTGCTCGTCGAACTTCACCGTTGCCGCCGAATGGAAAATTATGTTCACCTGCAAAGTTAAATCAAGCATTTACAAAATACCTATAAAGTTGGTAAGAATTAATTCGCCCATATCTGCTCAATAAAATAAAATGATATGTCTTACCCAACTTGAAGAGCACCTCCCGCCCTCCCTCAAATGCGTACACTACTCCCAGCACCACTATATGTTGCTAGGATTAGTGGTGGCGGGATTAGTGTGCGCAGATGAGGTAGGGTGGGAGGTGCTCTTCAAACTAGGTAAGACACATCATTTTATTTTATTGAGTGGAGGTGAGCGAAGTAATTTTAACAACTTTAACAACGTCTGATTCTTTTAACAAACTATCTTTATTTTTCAGATCTTTTAATGCTAGGTTTATTTATATTAAAAGAAGTATTATTCAGATTTTTTGAAACCTTTCTTTGTCAATATTTGCCTCCTACAATTCACCGCCTGTGGCCATGGCGTGGGTAAGTAAGTAACCCCCGTAAGCGCATATGCAGCAGCACGAGGATTTCACCCCAATACGATCGGCTTGGAGGCATTGTCATTCCGGTAAAACCAAAACTAATTTTTAATAATTGATATTAATATTATTTTTATTAATATTAATAAACATTATTAATATGAATAAAATTTATTAATATTAATAAAAAAGGACTAAATAGTAATTTAAAGATTTAAAAAGTATAAAATAATTTCACATTCTGAATTCAATGCTCAGACAGTGTGCAGAAGAATTCAAGCCTCAACGTGAAATTTTATTTTCAATCGTTTGAAGTCATCTTTTACTTCTCATTTAAAGTTATTTTCAACCTTTTTGTGGCCCAAGGAATATCAAAATCTCTATCTGAAAGCTATAAGTTAAAAACTTCCCTCCCTATTTCGAAACCCTATGGTGTTTTTTCCCAAATTTATATGAAGTATATTAAACAAACAAATAAAATGTACAGTCGAATTGCAAACCTCTATTTTTTAAGTCGGTTAATAACATCTAGATCGGAAAAAAATACTATGATATTAGAATATTAAGAATGAAATTAATTATAAAAGACGGACGAGACCGTGGCGATGAACTGAGTCTGTACTGAGAATTGAGTCCACCTAGCAGCAGAAGTAGATAAATTGGTCAGCAAACCATGGCTAGCGAACACCATTAAGTCAATCGGAATTTTTGACATTCTTAACGGATGTAATTTTTTTAGTACAGCATATTAATCATATAAGCTGCAATAAGTGACTCATGTTTATAAAATTTTGATAAGTACAAAAATTTTGTACGTAGGGTAAGCAACTAATCTAATTTTATGCCCCCCATGTTTGGCCTCGCCGGGGGTGCATATTTTTTATATTAAATGTTAAAGATTAAAAATGTTATTGAATGATTTCTGAGAAAAATCACCTTAACAGGGAGGAGTGGAGTGTCCCCCCTCCGCCGAAGCAATACCAAAGTGTAGTCGACGGAGCGCCGCTAATCGTGGCTTTTTTATAGGATAGTGTGACAAACGAGCACACAGTCCACCTGATGGTAAGTGGTTGCTGCGGCCCATAGACATGTATCCTCGATTACAAAACAAAATGCAGGTGCGTTGTCACCCGTGAGGACTAAGATGGAATGCCTCGTTTTCAGTAAAAAGGGTCTCCAGTTCTCTACACTCACCATACGAAATACAGCAGCTTTAAGCTACTATTTCACGCGGTATTCTGTGAGAGCGTGGTCCTTCCCCGGTTGAGTTGAGTTGAATGGGTCGGCCATTCGTGGTACTATACTACTAATATAATATCGCTTTGCTTACTCACTCGACCCTGCCATCCCCTTCTAACCTAACCTGTCCGAGTCGGGATGCCCAAAGACAAGAGCTCGCTTCGCTCGCTCTTTCACCAAATAAAACACCAAACTGTTAACTTTTATCATATTTGTTATTTAAAGGGTTTTAGCATAGTTTTTGCTAACCAATCGTGAATCTTGCTGATCAAGTAGTTATTTTGCGGATCGACTGTTTATTAGGCAAACTCATATTATTGTAAGCTGCTTATTTATGATTAGATTATTGAACGTTATCAAGATTATTTGCGAAACAAGAATTGCCGACTGGTAACGAAATGATTTAAATGCTGTTTTTTTGTGGCTAACTAAATTTTATTAGGGCTTAACATTTAATTTATTTTCATTAAATAATTATATTATTCACAATTATATTAACAGAAACAGAAACTCTTTTATTCAATATGGATTATAAATAATACTTTTAGAAAGTCACTTTTTGTTAATTTAACACTGTTCGGTAAAAAACCTCTGAAGAACCAGCAAGAAACTAAGCGGGACTTTAAAAAAATAACAGCTTACAATCTTATATGTTACACAATTTACAACACAAAACAAATATGAAATAGCTTGGTAGGTAACGATCGCCTTTCACAGGGGTTATTGTCGTCCATCAATTATGTATTAATAACTATTTTTTATAGCCTTGGTTGACAAACGAGCACACAGTCCACCTGATGGTAAGTGAATGCTGGCTTATGGACATCCATTTTATCTTCAACTAAGAATCCAAATGCAAATTACGTTGTCACCCCTGAGGACTAGGATGGAATACTTCGATTCTAGTAAAAAGGGTCACCGGCTCTCTACACTCACCATACGAAATACAACAGTATCGAGGTGCTATTTTACGCTGGTATTCTGTAAGAGCTTGGTCCTACCCTGGTCGAGCCAAACCATTCGTGATTCAACTATAATTGCATTACCCAATTTAGAAATCTAGCGCTAATAATACTGAGTGGTGTGTACTTATTTGTAGATAATTTACTTATGCACTTTATTTGTATGTACTAAAACTATGTTAGCGCATGGACGTTAGTTTTGCGACAAAATAAACAATCCTTACTGTTAAGTCTATTTGAGTTATGTTATTTATATTCGTAAATAAATAAAATATCCTAGCCTCAAGCTTTCGCACTCCTCATACATACGTTGTTATTTCATCCTAGCTCTATACTATGCTCCTAGCTATATACTATGTTATTTCATGCCGGTGTTCTGTTGTTGTGTTGTTCATGCGTATGTTCGAGTAGTATGCGAGCGTGATCTTTTGAGCTCCCGGTCGAATTGACCTATTCGTTCCCTGAAGCATGACTCTATCGTATTAAAGTAAAAGGTCTCCATTTCTAGTCATTCGCCATTCTAAACACAGCAGCACCCATGCTGCCATTGTGTTCCTTTAGCACAAATTTTTAGCATAAAATTTTTCGTATCGTCTATTTTATCTATTAATATAAAACATAAAAAATGTTTCTAGGTTTCTACTGATGTCCGTTATAGACTTTGAAACCATTCAACCGATTCTGATGAAATTTTTGGTGTGTTTGAATGGGTTCCTAGATGATTTATATATACCCTTTTTATTGTGGGATTCAGAAACACCCATGCAAAGCCGTGGTGGATCGCTAGTTATAATTATATGACAATAATAATTTATCTATAATAATTATAATTATATGGTAATATATATAGGTGGAAATAAAACAAAATAATGTAAACAGCATTGCTTATATTTAAAAAAAACCTATATGGAATGTTTTGTAATACAAAGTCATTTATGCTCGGTGTTTCTTCCCGGCCAAGCCGATTCATTCGTAACAATTCATATTAACCTAAGCAAGACTTACCATCATCTACTCCACAAAAGTCTACTGCTGAACATAGATTAATGAATCCTTCCTTCCCTGTTCTATCCCCTCGCCATAGATTAATAGTTGCCATGCTAGGCTGGCGGGTTAGCAACCGTATATTTTCATTATCATCATTACAGCCCTTCACTAGTTCACTGCTGAACACAGGCCTCCCCCAAAGTATGCCACAAAGCACGGTCCTGAGCCACCTGCATCCATCAACTTCCTGCATACCAGGTCGTACCAGGTCGTCACTCCATCAAGTGGGGGGGTCGCCCCACACTTCGCCTACCGGTACGAGGCCGCCACTCGAGAACCTTTTTTCCCCAACGGTTGTCGGTTCTTCGAGCTATATGGCCGGCCCATTGCCACTTCAGCTTACTAATCCGTTGGGCTATGTCGGTCACTCTGGTTCTACTGCGGATATCCTCATTTCTAAGTTTATCACGCAAAGAAACTCCGAGCATAGCCCTCTCCATAGCTCGCTGAGCGACTTTGAGCGTCCTCATACGGCCAGCAGTGAAGGGCCACGTCTCGGTTCCGTAGGTCATCACTGGCAACACGCACTGGTAGTAGAACTTAGTTTTCATGTTTTGAGGTACACCTGACAAGAAGATGCGTCGTAATTTCCCGAACGCTGCCGATTTGAATCCGTCGATTGATCCTCTCGGTCGAAGTCGGACTTACCTAGTCGGACTATTTGTCCCAGGTAAACGTACTCGTCAACAACTTCGAGCTTAGTGCTCCCAACAACTACCGGCATAGGTGTGACATGGACATTAAACATGTTCTTTGTTTTGTCCATGTTCATTTAAGACCTATCCGTTGGTAGGCACTATTCAGGTCATTGAGCATAGTGCTTAAGTCCTCGAGCGATTCTGCCATAAGGAATATATCGTCGGCAAATCGAAGGTGAGTGATGTACTCGCCATTGATGTTAATACCGTATCCTTTGCAATCCATTAGCTTGAAAACGTCTTCCAATGCAGCGGTGAAGAGTTTCAGGGAAATAACGTCACCCTGTCTTACACCTCTCTGCTGTAGGATAAGTTTCGAACTCCGATTCTGTACTCGGATAGCCATCGTAGCCCTAGTGTACAAATACTCAGCACTTCGATATACCGACAATCAACTTGGCACCGCTGAAGAGACTGTAGCACCGCCCAAATTTCGACGGAATCAAAGGCTTTCTCATAGTCCACATACGCCAGGCAAAGTGGCAGATTGTACTCTTCGGACTTCTGTACAATTTGCCGAAGGGTATATGTATGTGGTCTATGGTACTAAAGCCTTTTCGGAAACCGGCTTGTTCGGGAGGCTGGAAGTCGTCGAGTCTGCGTGCGAGGTAAACACAACGTGGCTCAGAAGGGATATCTGTCTGTAGTTCGTCAAGAGGGCGTTGTCACCTTTCTTGAAGAACAAGACCACCGCACTTCTGCTCCACGCCTCCTGAGTAGTGCCACCATGGAGGACGAAATTAAAGAGCCTCTGAAGGACTTCAAGTACCGGTTTTCCAACCGCTTTCAGAATCTCCGCTGTAAATCCATCCTCACCCGGGGACTTGCCGTTTTTAAGGTGCTGGAGAGCCTGACGTCCGGGATATCATCGGAATAGTGTCGGATAAGACTTGCTCTTGGATCGTTACTCACACTTGCGTGTGGCTCCAACGATCATGTGTACAGCTGCCCATAGAACCTCTCAATCTCACTCAGAAGCTCAGGTGTCCCGGAAACGATGCTGCCACAGTCAGTCTTTAACTTTGACAGTTGGCTCTTACTGGCAGACAGATCTCTGGCAAAGACTTTGGAGCCCTGGCTCCGCTCGATCGCTTCTTCAATACGAGCAGTATTAAAGTTGCGCAAGTCTCACCGCATGCATTAGGAGATCTGTCTGTTCAGTTGGCTGTATGCTGTCAAATCTGTTGACGATTGCAGCCTCATCTCCCGTCTAACAGCATAGATAAGAGTGTGATCGGAGAGTTTTTGTGTTCTTCTGCGGCAGGTCTTGCAGAACTTAGCTCCGACCGCATGGACAGTGTCCACCAGCTTGTCATTAATATCGTCCACTGCATTGCAATCTTCTAGGCACTGAAAGCGGTTACGTAACTCGAGCTGAAATATTTCGGGATTCTGGATTAGAGCACGAGCGGGACGGTGCGTTGACTTCATTAGACGAGACCTCTCCAACTTGACGTTTAGGATCAGTGTGCCTCTAACCATTCGGTTATCGCTGCCAGTTTTCACCCTTGCGATCACTGAGACATCACTGAACAGTTGGCGTATGGTCATCATAATGAAGTCAATCTCATTTTTTGTCGAACCGCTCGACCAGGTCCACTTCCTGTGGGGCCGCTTCTGGAAGAAAGAGTTCATCATAAAGAGTCCCTCTTTCTCCATAAATTCGGCCAGCTGCTGGCCCCTACGGTTCCGTTGCCCTACTCCAAATTTCCCTAACTTCAGCTCACCGCTTTCTCTCGTGCCTAGTTTTGCGTTGATTTTAATTACGATAATTACTCGTATTCCGATTTACTATCACGGAGATGTACTTAGCTGCTGATTTACTATTTCATTTTGATGCACAGATTTGCAACAATGATATGGGGTAGCCACCACTAGGGCCACGGATTAGATAATAGTTACAACATAAAAACGGATAATATTCTATAGAAAAAGGTCGTAAAGTGGCCGGCTCGACCGGGAACCACGCTCTCATAGAATACCAGCATAAAATAGCAGCATATTGCTACTGTGCTTCATATGATGAATGTAAAGAACCGGATACCCTTTTTACTAGAAATGAGGCATTCTAACTTAGCCCTCAAGGGTGACAACGCATCTATATTTTGATTTTTAATCGAGGATAGATGTTCTATGGGCCTCAGGATCCACTTACCATCAGGTGGACTGTGCGCTTGTCTGATCCATAAAAAATGGTCAATGGAGTCTTTCAATTAATTTATATTGTTTATTAATTTATTTTGTAGTATATTTAATGTTCCTAAAATATTTTAAAAATACAAGTATCACCTTCTCAGTGAGCATTTGCCTGTCACTTAGTGTAAGTCCTAATCCCGCCGCTTCGCAGTCCGCTGGTATCACAACCACTTTGTGCCTGAATTTCGGTACTTCATCCTTGAGCCTATTAAAAACCTGAAACGGTAAATGCATATAAATATAACTTTAATGTACACCATTAACAAAATTTCTTTAACAATTGTGGAATGAGCGAACTTATTACTTTAAAGCGATCGCTTCCGAATAAAACAAAACGTGAATATTTATCTAAATAATTAATGTTTTCCTAAATCATATCATCACCTAAATCATAATCATCGTTCATTTAATGCAGGCTATCATAATTACACCGCCCAGCATAGGCCTTTTACATAGATTACCGTATAGAGGGGATATTTGCCATCGTTGCCATGTTTGGCTGGCGAGTCGGGAACCGTTTTAAATGCGGTAAACATGAGGCAATCTAAACGGAAGACCTACGTTCAGTTTAGAATCTATCGAAATTAAAATCATATCCACCCTACTTTACGAACGGCAATAAAACAAGTAGGCATCTTTGACCTTGTCACTTCGCAGGGTCGTAGGGTAGGGTGGATATGATTTGAATTTCGATAGATTTTAATTTATTTATTTATTTGATTCAAAATTTTTGTTTTTATTTTTTGTAAAATATCAGTGCTTCTACTCCGTTCACATGTTACACCTTATTTTTTCCAGTCGGCAAAAATGGTCATCCATGACATCATTAAAATTCAATCTTACCACCCAGCTATTACTCCTTGGTTAAAATCATCCAAGTTCAAGGAATGAGAGAAGAGACAATACTAGATTGATCAAAATACCATAAGAAATTATTGTGATAATGACTCGCTTCATATTTATAACTAGACTGCCCCGTTGGTCTAGTGGTTCTAGCAGTGCGACTACTGATCATGAGGTTCGAATTCGGGGTCGGGCCAAAAATATCAGTTATTGAGTTTTTTCATCAAGAAATTCTCAATAGCTGCCCAGAGTCAGGAAGTTGGCGGTGTCTCACCCCCGTGCCTTGGAAAGCACGTAAAGCCATACGTACTGCGCCTGATCTTTCCCCGGTCGCGTCGGCTTACCGTCCCGTCGAACAATGAGGGTAGGGGAACAGAGACTGCACCTATGCTTGCGCGTACACTCGGGCACTATAATCATGTCCTGCGCCGACGGATAGTCTCCGTTAAGGTTAGCCGCCGTGATCGTAAATCGGTCTGAAGGAAATTAATATTATTATTATTTGTAAGTACCGACGCGCTCCGGCTTCACCTTTACTTAGAATTAAAATAATCAAAGCCCCAATATATTCTCAGTAAAATTATATCACTTGCGGAATACGTACCTACATAAAAAGACCTAAAAAATTATCTATCTTAAAAAATAACCTCTTTTATATCCTTTCAAACTTTCTGTTCAATTAGAACTTTGTAGTTATGCAAAAATGTGTTGCAAACTTTGCTGCGGTGGATACAGCGGACCCTGTTTGCCCATGCACCACTATCTACACGTGCTGTACGAAGATTTGTTAAGAATGCATTGTCATGGCTAGTGTCTACAACACTTTGTATTTCCATTTATTTTAATGAGGGTATTCACGAGTTTGTCTGCTACCTTGGCGGCGCCTCTTAAAAATGAGGTGTAATATCTGACAGATTTCATAGCAGGGAAGTTAGTTTATTCGAAGAATGTAAAGGTTAATGTTCTTTCTGTACTATTGGTTATATTTTATATTCATAAAAGAAGACAAATTAAAAAAGAGTTAAAATGGGCAAAAAATTAAGAGCAAACCCTGAGACATTGTTTTGTGTATAAATATAATACTCTAGAAACTGATAAACTTGTATTTAAAACTAACTTCTCAATTAAGGGCCTATACTACCTCAAATGGCTTGGCAAGATCCTCCGTTATTCCGATAATATTGCATTATTAATTTTGAAATAAATATATGGTAAAGTTGAGGATTAATGATAAGTACTATGTTAAACGAAAACGCGATTCCATAAAATTTTCTCGACGGAAAAAATCCGAAGTTACCTCCAAACTGAATAATAAACCGCTGGTATTTATAAAATACTTTAAATTAGATCGTGAAACTTTGCGTACTGCCTGAACTAACTATAAAGCAGGGCTTATGTTTCTTTTAATTAACATTATTTTCACTGTAAACAGAAATTGCTTAAACTATCAGCGTCTTGAAGCTTGTCCCATGCCGCCCGATCAGTCCCGCTACAGATTTCGAACAGAAAAACTGTGTCGCTTACGATCAAAATACACAATACGCAACAGTACGACGTAAAATTAAAAGGGGAAATAACCGTAATAAAAATAAGAAGTGACTGGCTTGGCGTAAAGAAACAGGCATAAATATGTTAAACCTAATGAAATAATTAACTAACGATCTACCTATTTACTTACAGTATTAGTGATTACAAACATGTTGGTACATAGCATACGACGCGCGGGAAAGTGGGGGTGAAATTAGAATTTGAGCTGAGGTAGTATAGGCCCTTAAGTGACATTGTGCAATAAAAAAAATTCACCTCAATATTAACTAGCGACATCTGATGAAAGGAATATTAATAGCCCTCACTGGTGTCGTTACGTTAAATATATATGTAAACAAATATGTATTATCAATTTTTCATTTAACCGAAAACCTTCAAGTTTTTATGATAAAATATGCCTAGATTCCGCCTGGTACTGCTCCCTATCTGTTCGCAAAGTTTCATATAGTCGGTTCAGCCATCTCAAAGATTATCCCGGACAGATAAAACGCATAAGAAAAATATAAAAATGTTTTTTTTTTATGTTTTAGTATCATGCAAATAACCCCCTGAGCTTAATAGAAGCGAGTCATTGCAATATAACAGATAGACACTTTAATTTTTTATATGTAAGTATTTAGGGCGCAAAAGACATGCGTTCGGACCACAGAAATAGTAGATATATTACGATCTCTGTAGTTCGGACTAAATACACAATGAAACAAACCGAGAGCTGTCGGTCGATATTTCCTAATATTAAAGTATTGACACTGTCGTGTATTTTTATACTAGATATGGTACTATTTGTATGAAATATTAATAACTTGTTGGTTAAATTAAAAACTCAAGAGATACCCTTTCCAAATAAGCTTCATGTCTAACAAAACTAAACTTTTAAACAGCAGTGTATTTTTATGTAATATCTTACCATACTTCTACTTATGTAATAAATAATGATTTAGTATATTACATAACATAAACACTCAGGCCTGTCACACAGGCAGATACTACAGACTTCCATTTTGCACGATCCTGACACACCTCTCTCGCCTCTTCTACATCCGTATACCTACACATACATGGTCGTCAGTTAAGGGTACTCCTAGTGTGGTAAATATGCAAGATGATGTTGTGACCAGAATTAAGAAAGGAATGCTTCGGTGGTTTGGTCATGTAGAAAGAATAAATGAGGAAAAAGTGACAAAGCAAATTTATGTCGAAATAAACGCCAGAGTCGGAAAAGGACGTCCTAGACGAAAGCTTATCAACCAAATTGGCAATATATTGAAAATAGGCCAAATTAGTATATTATTTTTAACCAAATGAGATTGAAAGACGACAACGACCTGGTAAGACATGCAGGAAGTCGATGGATTCAGGTGACTCAGGATTGTGTTTTGTGGCATATCTTGGGAGAGGCTAATGTTCAACAATGGACTTTTGAAGGGCTGTAATGAATGGATGTATATAGTAGAAGAGAGCTGGTGCTTTTTTCGCTCAAAAGTCATTCAGAAACTCAGCCAGCGTTCTTGGCACTACACCGCGTGGAGTAGGACTGTATGACAAGTCTTTAGTTTTAATTTTTATTACAAGTTTATAAATATTGTATATATCTGAATTTCATGTTAATAAATTATTTATACTTGAAATATATTTACATATCATGCACTTAACACATTGATTCATTAAGTCAGCTCTTAATAATATAATCCTTTTGTTAAGGTGCGAATTGTAAACTGTAACAAATAAATAAGGAAATCCTTGCATAGTTTTAATACGGTAGATGTTTATTATATGCAGCATTAGTAGATAAGTGATAGGTAAACAATAACTCTAATTAGAATATAGTGGTACGTGGTTGGGCCACGCTGCAGCTATATTATGGTTGTAGTACGAATGGGTCGGAGGGACCGGAAAAGAACCAGCGTTGTTCTTCCATGTTAAAGTAGACTATTCGATAAAGATATTAATAGTTACTTTGCAACCATACTCTCAATAAAACAAAATGATGCGTCTTATCCAGTTTGAAGATCACCTCCCGCCCTCCCTCAATTGCGTGCAATAATCCCGTCACCACTAATATTACGTACGTTATTATCGTCGATGGTGTGTCTTTCCTAGAATAGTGGTGTTGGGAGTAGTGGTGTTGGGAGTAGTGGTGCTGGGATTAGTGGTGACGGGATTGTTGCACGCAATTGAGGGAGGGTGGGAGATTCCCTTCAAACTAGGCAAGAGACATCATTTTATTTTATTGAGCGGATGGTTGCAAAGTAACTATTAATATCTTTATTACAATGGATTTGGACTTCAATATAATTAAAATGAGAACAACAGTCAATTAAATACGCATTATTAAGGATAACCCAAAAACTACTACCGTCAGATCTTGATAAAATTTATATGGGACCACACGAGAAGTACCAGCTTTCAGTTCTATGAGAGCGTGGTTCTTCCCAGGTTTATCTGACCCATTCGTGTCTCAATTACATAACATAGCTCCAGCATGGCTCTACGTGACCTCTATGTCTAGACCTAGAGTATATTTTGACCTTCGTTCCGTGCATCTTTAAAAAACATCTCTTACTATAATATATCTTTTCGGTATTTGTTAACCTTGTCAAAATGACTTTATCTTTTCTGCAAATATCATTAAAAGAGCTAAGAAATACATAAAGGAGCTAAAATCGTGACATTTGGTTTACAAATATTGTGCCAAGTGCCTGTCATACAGCCCTCACCATGACCGAGTTACTGATTCGAGTAACGGAGTAAGTGTTTGCAGTTCTCGTCCATAATAAATTAATGAAAACGTATTAATCTTATATGATAATGTTTTTCCCAATCCT